GCTGCTGTAATTCAGCACTGGGAGGATTGCAGCATGCGGGGGAGTCCCACGCCGGAGCAGTGGGACATTCCCTCCCTTGGGAAGGGCTGCAGCCGTGGGAGGGAATCCAGTCGGAGGAAGTTAGTGACCCATGACGGAGCAGTGTGGGGAACGCTGCGGCCCATGGGAGGAATTCATGTCGGAGAAAGTTTGTGGAGGACTGTGAGAGGGGAACCATGATGGAGCAGGAGAAACAAGTTCCGGACACTCCCCTCACCAAAGATGAAGAAAGCGGCAGCACTGACTGCACCCCCCATTCCCTGCCCCTGCGCCACTGGGGGAGGAGGTAGAGATATCGGGAGCAGAGCTGAGCCCGGGAAGAAGGGAGGGGTGGGGGGAAGGTGTTCTCAAGATGTGGCAATGCTTCTCACTGTCCTACTCTGTTATGTGTTGTTAGTGTCTGTAATAAATGTATGGTTTTTTTTTTTTCTTCCCCTAATGAGTCTGCCTTTTGCTCGTGACCATAAAGGGGAATTTTCTCCCCATCCCAGTCCTATCTCGAACCCCAAGCCTGGCTCTCTGTCCCTTCTCATTGCCGGAGGGGAAGGGAAAGCGAGCTGCTGCATTGTGGTTGGCTGCCAACCAGGCCCAAACCACGACAGCTATATACTGAAAAACAAACTTGGATTTCATGTCTTCTTGAAGTAGTGTCTTTGATGTAACTTCTAAAGACTTGCTTAACCTCTGCCTGACAGCATTAGTCAGTGCAAAGGAGCTGTATTGAGGCGGGTGCAGGAGGGGCTCTTGCTAACATCTCCCAGTTTCAGGTTTGCTGCAGGAGAGTCATAGAGTTATTGAGATTTCCAGTGTGAAGGGATGTAGTCATTGCAGGATGTTTTGGAATATAAACATTTATTTTTTTCATGTGTTGTGGCTAGCCAGAACAGAAATATGAATCTTTCCTTGGTATCTAGTTTTCACTGCCTCTTCCTTGTAATAGCATATGTGGCGAGGCCCTGCAGCCCTTTGTATGTTTATGTGTTGCAGAGCAGAGCCGGCCATAGAAGCCCTGTTGTTCTGGACTTCATACAAGCAAGGTGTGCTACTTTGGCACTTAAGGTCCAGTTTAGTCTCATTCAAAGGTACAGGAGCAAAGGTAGAGGAGCAATGTGTGCTCACAGCCCAGAAAGCCAACCATGTCCTGGGCTGCAACAAGAGCAATGTGGCCAGCAGGTCAAGGGAGGGGATTCTCCCCTTCTGCTCCATTCTCGATAGACCCCACCTGCAGTGCTGGGTCCAGCTCTGGGGCTCTCAGCACAGGAAAGACATGGTCCTGTTGGAGCAGGTCCAGAGGAGGCCACAAAAATGATCAGGTGGCTGGAGCACCTCCCTTGTGAGGACAGGCTGAGGGAGTTGAGGGTGTTCAGTCTGGAGAAGAGAAGGCTTCAGGGAGAGTTTATAGGGGCCTTCCAGTGTTTAAAGGGGGCTGCAGGAAAGATGGGGAGGGACTCTTTCTCAAGGGGTGTGGGGATAGGATGAGGGGTAAAGCTTTTAAACTGAGAGTAGATTTAGATTAGGTAAGGAAGAAATTCTTCCCTGTGAGGGTGGTGAGGCCCTGGCCCAGGGTGCCCAGAGCAGCTGTGGCTGCCCCCTCCCTGGCAGGGTTCCAGGCCAGGTTGGACGGGGCTTGGGGCAACCTGGTCTGGTGGAAGGTGTCCCTGCTCATGGCGGGGGGGGTTGGAACTGGATAAGCTTTAAGGTCTGTTCCAACCCAAACCTTTCTATGATCTGCCTGAGTCCTTCCTATGGAAGAGAACTGGGCAATAATTTAGGGTTTAGTTGGTAAAACAGATTAAAGCTTCGCTGAAAGGAAGAGAGCAGGGTAAAAAAAAAGCACATGAAAAGCATGGAATTGAATGTTATGGACTTTCATGTGTATGGTACACTGTAATTTTGGAGTTCAGAATTGCTCTATATTACGGCTTCCCTTACGTCAATTATATAGGGCTTCAAACTAGCACTGTTCGGAAAAACTCCTGAGTCTGTCAGTTTGAAAATCAGACATTTTTCTGGGGTTAGTTTGATGTTTTTGACGAATGTATGTTGAAACTCTGATGGTTTTTCTAACAACTCAGCCCATATATAGCTGTGACCTTCCCCATGGACCTAGAAATTTGGGAACTTTTAAGTTATTGCAGTGGCTCAGAACCAAAGAACTGAAATTCCACATGGAAGGAGAATATATGATTACTTGTGTAAGTATTCCTGACTTTTTCTCAGAATTCTTAAAGGAAACCACAACAGCAGGAAAAAGACCCATCAGTACAAACTGTTCTGTTCCTTGACTGTGCGCTGTTCTAAGCTATGCTTTAATAGCAGCAATCAATGGGCAAGCATTACCTTTTATTTTATGGAAGTTATGTCTGTTTTCAGTTATGTATTTTAATCTGAAATACACACTGAGGTAGTTAATGGTCTTAAGTCTTTAATTGTTCTCTTTTAAAAAAACAGAGGAATAGCAATCTCTGCCCATTACCTCTCCCTTCTGTGTGGCCTTCTGTGCCCACGCTTTATTATGTAATTCTGGAGGATGCAGTGTATCTCTGATGAGATACTGACAGCTGTTGTGATGATTATTATTTGCTTTTTAGTGGATTATCCAGTGTTCAGTTTTTGGTAGAAATCTGCCTACTGACTTGCTAGCATGTTAGTTTGTTGTTCCTGCAGTGCCAGACCTCTGTTCAAAGAGCAGTGAATCTCGTTAGTAGTCTTCTGTTGTCTCTAGTCATATAGTTCCTTTCTCTCTTCTTTTCTGTGTGTGTATGTTCTCACAAGCACTTTTCTGGCTTCTTCAGTGTGTGTTCCCCCCATGAAGGTTTCACATCAATTCCTGAATCAGTTTTTCTTTTATTTTCTTCTTAATTTATAAGTCTTGCTTATGTTCTTATTGACAGCTGTAAAATGTAAAGTTTACTAGTTATCTTCCTAAAATTCATAACTTTTTTGTACAGATTTTTTTTTTGTGTTATCATGAAGCAACCATAATTAGCTGTGAAGAGTAAGCCATACTTCTGGATTTGATTGTGCTAGTTAGGTGTGAATCCATCTAAGGAAAGGGCTTATGTGGGTGGAATAGTTCGCAAAGGATTTTCTGTGTGCTGCGAAATAACGCATTGGAACAAGGAAGGGATATTTAGTTCAGCAGACTTGTCCCCCTCTCTTTTGATAATCATTAAAACCTTTTTCCTGTGATTTTACCAATCGATGTTCACCTATCTGTCAGGACAGACCATTTTACCAGCGATTGAGTTTCCAGTTAACTTCCCACAGTGACTTGTGCTCATGTGCTTACCAGTCCTTGCAGTCCTGAACTGGGATTCTCACAGGTGGGCAGAGGCAGGTTCTAGTCTGGTACGGAAACCAGAACTGCCCTGCAATGGCAAGACTTTTTAATGGAGTGTTTTTTTTCTTTTTGGCCTTTTGACTAATGTGAAATAATTTACTTTATGGTTTATTCAATCAGCTTTTATTCACAATTCCCAAAACTTGTTCTGGGTCATGCTGCAGTTCTTATATTCATAGGGGAATTAATACATTTGCACCTTTGATTATGTTCGTAGCATATTTATTTACTTTTGTTATTCTTTGTCTTCTCTGTAAGGCAAACCTAGATTTTCCGTGACATCAATTTTCACAGCAGCTTAAATGAACCAAAAATGTTCCTCTCACAGGAGTAGTATAATTTAGTTCATTCTGAATTTTGCTCATCGGCATATGAGACCCAATTTACTTTGTGGAGGCTTTGTAAAGTCAGTTTAAGCTCTATAGTTGGCAATTATTCTCTGTGATAATTACTTTGTCATTCTCCTGTATAAACATGTCATTGTCCTTTCTTTGAGAGATGTACTTTTAAATTTATATTTTATGGTCAGGTTAGTCTTGTAATTAGAACTTCAGAAATAAACAATTTTAATTGTAGAGATTATTTGCAAATACCTATGGAATGTAGAATTACTATACTGAATTTTGATACTACTGAGAAAAAGCTTATTTGAGATTTCACTTCAGCTTAATACAGATTTTAAGTTGTAAATACCCAACTGGAAACTTCTGGGAAGTTCAGGGAAACCTTGTATTTGGAAATGTGGAAATTTTGGACAGGATGTCACTTTGTCTCTAGCAAATAAGACTTGCCAATCTGATAGTGCTCAAAATAAGAGAAAATATTTGTGACAGAGAGGACATGCTAGGCAGATTACAAGTTGGTCTTACTTTATTACAGCTGACAGCAAAATAAGTCCATTTATGTGACCATAAATGTATTGTATTCTATCCTCCCTAATGGTGTCCCTCTCTTATTGTATAACCTTGAGCACTTACAGGAGGTATTTTCTTAGAATGAGATCTTACAGACTACCACCGCCATCTAAGAATGAACAAAGTTTATGGGTTCAAATGTATAGCTTTTTAAACTGTTTGGCTAATATGAAGAGATTATCTTTCCTTTGCAAGCCGTTCCTGAAAAGGTGGTTTTCTGCTCATTTGGCATTTGGCTCCCTCTTCTGGCCAGTGTTTGGAAAAGCACAAATTAACAATTTCGGATTTTCTGTCTGGAGCTACAATAATAATAATAATGAAAAATCTTCAGAGCATTCTGTAAGATAAAATTTGATTACAGTTGCATCCAGGTCCAACTGAAATTGAATGTCTAATTTGTGACATATGTGACCTGGTTTTAAATCTACTGAAATCGGCTTTTACTTGTGCTAGAACTTGTAAATAAGAGATTTTAATTTTTCTTTTTGTGCTCCCATCACATCTCCAAGTACAAAAGCACTGGAGACCAGCTCATGGGAAATCCATGGAAGTTCAGTGCACTCAGTGTTTGGCCCAGCCAGATTCTGTGTTTGTTTATATCATTTGATGTGAAACGGTGTTGCTGCTACTTAGACAATAGAGAACAAAATGTTTTATTGCTTCTGTTATACAACTAATCATGGTTTTGTTTATTTCTTCTCCAGGTGATAGAAACACTTTCAAAACTTTCTCGCACTCCTATTGCATTAGGCACAGGAATAAGGTATGTTATTGCCCTAGTGAATGGTGGGAATAACACCTCTTGCATGATGTTCCTTGGAAAAGTTTTTAGAGGCAGTATAGGCAGCATCCCTCAGTAAGAACTTCTCTGGTTGTAAACCATATTCCCCAGTGGACAGCTAACCAAGGCTCTGGACCTCTGAGGAGCTCCAAAATCTGTCTTCTACCTCTGGCACACCACTTACTGAGGTGCCTGAACTACATTTACTACATGTACTGAAACACGAGGTGAACAAATGAGCAGTCAGTATTACAGAAGTTCTCCGATAATTGTGACACATAGATTGTAAGTCAGGCTGATGCAGTGCTGGTCTATGTAAAGGCAAATGGGTTTTATCTTCTTTTTGCCTTCTGAAAATCAGCAAAACTGGAAAGTTTGTGAGATTCTAATTTTCAAAAAGAAACCAAAAAACCCCAACTAAACCCATCCTCATGAACTATAACTGTGAGCTGTGAAAGAAGGTGAAAGACTTCATGCTTTGCTGTTCTCCATCTTTTTGAATGGTTTGATTCAGCAGTCTTATCATGTGTGAATGAATGAATGATGTTTTTAAAACACAGAGTTCCCTAGCCAGTCATGTCCTTTGCTAAAAAGAGTAGTTAATATTCCCAATTAAAAAACTGACAATGATGTGTATTAGTGATGATTTATAACTCTATCCAGTAGCAATTTTTATTATATTAAATATCAATTCATATATAGAAATCTAAATACATGTATACTGTTCATCAGAGAAAGGGGAATGTACAAACACCTTAACGTACAGTAATCTGTGTGCAAATTTTAGAAACCAAACAAAACTCCACTATGTGACTAGAGTAGTGCTGTCTGTAATTCATGCTATTTTTCTCTCTATAGGCCCTTCCCTACAGAAGAAATTGTTGATGATGAAGATGTCTACAAAGGTCTTCCTGATTTAATAGAGTATGTTGTAAATCCTTAGTTAAATTACAGATTTTGGCTTTCAGCTGCATGCTATTATTTATATGATGTTATAGAACACACAGTTTTAATGAGAATGGAATATTTCTTTGATTTAACAAGGTTTTGTTAGTCGTTATGGTGACTAGGTAGAGTTCATTATGAAAGCTGATCTGAATGACTGTAATACATTTATATATGTAAAGAAGCATGTTACATAGAGGGCTCTGGTAGCAAAGTATATCATAAATGCGCTTTTAATTTATCTGTGCTATGAGAATGCTTTCATAGAATTACAGTATCAATTGTAAGGGGCCCAAGGAAATTATCCTGAACTTGCAAAGAAAATGCATGTTTGGATCATAATTCAAGTGGGTCATTTTCCTAAAGCCAATGAAATTGTTCGTATGAGTGCATTTGCCTCTGTGGGTTTTATGCAGGATTATGAATGACTGCCAATTTTCACATTGGCTTTGAGGTACATTTAAGTTAGATGTGAACATACTGTGTAGTACTGAATGGTAGACTGCAGCTTTATTTTGCAGACTGGTGAGATAAATACATCTGGGCATAAAAAACTGTCAGGAAGAACTACTCTTGTTATCCTATGGCTGGGATCTCTCAAGATCCATTAGGAATCATGTTGCACAACAGCTAGGATCAGAGCTTGCTGTCCCAAAGCTGAAAGTTCACCAACGCTCACCTCACTAGTGCTAATCTGGCTGTATCTTGGCTCTGGCCACATTGTACACCGTTTGCTGTGATGTGGTGAAGTAACTGCTGTTCACACCATGGATTTGTTTCTTTATTGCCCATAAAGAAGGGAGACCCCACCATGTTTGACATTGCTCAATTTATCACTTTACCTGCAGAGCTCATCCTTATCTCCTGCAGCTGACTGGCTGTCGTGTAGGTAGCTGCTTTTCACTCTGTGTAGCTGCATGTGCAGAAGGCAGGAGACCCAAATGGGCTAGAGGTGATATTCTAATTTATTAGCACTGTTTGAAAATAATATTTCTATCAGTTCTTAAGTAGGTATACAAATTCAGTACTGTAAGACAGTCTTTCATTCAAAAAAAAAAAAAAGTTAACAAATCATACCAAAGTAATTGAGATTTGTAGCTCTTCTTTTGCATCAAATTACAAGTATTATTCACTGAAATTTGATAGTTATATGCTGTCTTAATTGTGGAGGCAGCAATTCAAGATGTACTCCCTTCATAAGAAACAGAAGTGCCAGTGAATTATGCAAATGGCCCGCATTTTTTAGTTTCTCTTAATTAGTAAGTGTATTTGACTAAACTTCATTTAGTTGTCCCTGAGTTTAAATGGTGTCTAAAGAATTTAGAATTAATCTAAGGCTTTCTGTCAGAAAGAGCTGTAGTAGTAATATTTTTCTATTCTTACTCTGCCTTTTTGCCAGCTTTTATTCCCTAGAGCATAAGTGGTAAAATGGAGTGAGTGTGTCTGTGCTGCATCTGACACGCTGCTAGTGTTTAATATGAAATGCTAGCACATCATCATCACTGGTGCAAGCTGAAATGTTAGACTAACTGGGAGCACCTGAGCTTTCTAGCTCTCTTGGGGCATGGTATCTGTGGGAAAGGGAACTGGTGTGAGTAGTTTGTCTTCTATTGAATCCCCCCCAAATTTTTTTAAAATCATTTCATCTATTGAAACTTCTGACTCTTGCTTACTTTATCCCTCTGGTGTCCTTGATTAAACAAACGTATCTAATGAGAAATAAAAAATTAATTTGGTTTCTATATATAGTCCTAATTATAGACATAGTGATTTTGTCTGGCATTTCCAAGTAGTCCATGTGACAGCCGTGTTGGTAACAATTCTCATTGATTTTGATTTATTTGAAATTATTAGTCTCTCTCAGTAGAGCTTCTGGTGTCCTGTTCTTGAGTACTGATGATCCAGTTAGATAAGTCAGAAGTGGTTGTCCTTCGTAGTTCTAGTGGACCAATACTCAATGTGTTTTTTTACTCTGAAGGATTTCAGTGTGGTTTTCCAGTAGTAAAAATCTCAAAGTTATCAACACATCTGATCAAGTTTTTGTATTACTATGACTGATCTACTTTCAATATCTTCTAGAGTTCTATTGTAGACATAACCTTGGAAATGTGGGTGAAGGAGATGTGGTCCTAGGGCAAAGTAGGCAAAACTCCAGCAGGACTGCCTCTAGGGACGCTGAATTAGCTGAGGGTAGAGTTGAGCACTGACTTTATGCTGAGGCATTTCTGTAGTCAGGGTAATAGAAGGATGCTTCTTGGGCATACTCTTACTTTGTTGTTGTGGTATGGGTGTTTTTTTTTGTTTGTTTGGTTTTTTTTGCTTGTCTTTTTGTTTGTTTTTTTTTTGTTGTTTTGGGTAGCTGAAGGTTACCATGAGGTGATCAAGATACTGGCTCATGCTGTGGAGCTACAGATTCTCAGCTGCTGGCTCAGCAGCTTTTAGTGCATTTCACCCCAGATAATTCTTTCATTAGTCAGGAAGGCAGCCTGTATCAGTGTCTTGCACCCCAGTGCGGTGGGGTGCCAGGCTGTAGGGAGAGGCAGCTCCTCTTCACTGGATGTGGTGGGAAAAGGTGTGAAGAGAAGAGAGCATCTGGGCAGTACCTCCTGACAAGCTGCTTTCGGTGCCTGGCATATTTCCTGTGTGGTTCTAAATTCATGCAGTCTTCAGTGTTGTGTTGATTTCATACAGTCATATTTTAAACACGTTGAGGAAAGAAAATTAATGGACTTAATTTCCCGTAATAGATTCTTTTCATTAGATAGTTCTATTAATTAATCTGTTTGTTTACAGTAGAAATCTTTTTCTATGAGGAGTGGTCTGCTGCAGAACTGATGATAATTTGCCTGTGCTGCCCAACTTTCTGTTGTTGTCTTTTCCTTTCAGTGAAACTGGTGTTGATGAAGATGAGGAGTTGTATGACTGTGTCTATGGAGAAGATGAAGGTGGGGAGGTTTATGAAGACCTAATGAAAGATGAAGCAGCACAGCAACCTGTACGTTTTCCAATTCCTAACTATTTTCAAACAATAGCAGTTACATTTTTGTAAGTTAATATTTTTGAAATTATTTTTTTATAGCTAGTTTCACTGAAACTTCACTCATGCTCAGTTGCATCTGGAGCATTATCTCCTGTGTAAGACTTTGCAGACTGTTTTGGAAAAGGGTCAAATGTTAACTATGATAATTTTTTGAAAGAAATATAATTTTAAAATACAGTAATTACTTTGCTAAGTTTGCCAGGTGGTAAGATTTACCAGCTATTTTAAGAGCAATTAAATTGACAGCTTACTTCGAAGTGTCCTACTTCCAAAATTAAGTTATAATATTGTGAAATGTTGTTGTTTCAGCCAAAATTTGGACAACTAAACTAACAGGGACAACTGATAATTGTTTCATACCAATGAATTTCTTGCTTATTCAATCATGTAGTTTTTGTTGATCATTAGGTTGGCCTTACTGAGAAAGTGGTAAGTAGATTATTTACTTTATCATATAAAGGTACCATGGTCAGTTTTCAAAACTGACTTGAAATTAATCTAACCTTAGGCAATAAAATTTACTTGGTAATTGGGAGAAACCGTAATGTACTTTTTGCCCTTCCTCAGAGATATACTTTCTGATCTGGAAAATGTTAGTCTCTGGCCATGACAGGATATATTTTTTAGGACAGTTATTTTCTTCCTCTATATTGACATGAAGGTATGTTATGCTTCCTGTTGTCTTAAGTTGGAAACTTGCTCTACTTTTCCATATTGCATTTTATAGTAATATAGCTACATGAAGAAGTGAGAAATTCCGAAGATCTTAATATTTTGTTTTGTTGGATTTTTTCTTAATTTACCTTGTGTATCTTTCCAATACAAGTATAGGAGATAGCTAATGATTTGTGTTCTCTGCTTTTAGGGCGATTCCCCAAAGTTACTATTATTTTGTCTTTGGGAAGATTACTGCATTGTTTTAATCTCTGCTATTTTAATCTCTATTGTTTGGAGTATAACGATACTGTTTTCAAGCCTGTTTTTCTGTTAATAAAAGTCCTGCAGGTAGTGCATGTAAATCAAGGATAAGATATGCCAAAGTTATGTTAGTTTTTCACATTTTACTTAATTTTGTTTACCTTTTAAAGTTTAGGTTATTCAGTGAAATTCAAATAAAAAATTGAGTTGAAAAAATGCTTTTATATCTAATGAGGTCACATTCACTTGCATGTAGGGTGTTTTAGAAAAGCATTTGAATCATAGGAAATCTTTACTGTGATCTTGTTTTGAGTTTTTATTTTATACTGATACTCAAAATGAGTTAAGCTCTGGGTTTCACAAGTGTGGGTTGTGGTTTGTTTTTTGCTTTTTGTTCTTTTTTTTTTTTTTTCTTCAACTGTAACCGTTGGTAATCTCTGGCAGTTGATAGTGTATAAACTTTCTCTGATTCTTTCTTTCCTGTTGCAAATGTCACTCTCGCATATCGATGTTTCTAGAAAATGATTAATATAGCAATCAGAAATCTCATGTTCTAATTTTAGTTGCATCTTAGCCTAGATATTTCAGATTGAACAGACTTGTATTTGTTTCTTATGGAAAGTAAATGAAAATTGAAAACATGGTACAGCAAAATGTTTATTCCACAACATGTAATGAATAGAGACATTACAATTGTTTTGCTGTGACAGCTTTTTTGAATGTGGTAAATATTTCTAGTTTGTGATAATTTCCTCTTAGGTTTATAAATACACTGCATGCTAACATGATGATTTTGCGGAGTTCTTTCATTTGAATCCTATGTGAGAATTCCTTGCATATGAAAACACTAGCACAGGACAATCTTCAAGGAGATTATTAGAAGAACTCAATACTTCTCAGAATCTCCAATAGCAGCCAAAATACTTTGTGTCTCCCTCATCCTTGGTTGTCATTATCTTGCGAAGTAAACTGTTCTGCTAAATTTTCTCTAGCAGTAGCTGACCTTCAAAGGCAATTTTTCTCACTTGTACTGGTATTTGCACATTATTTATTTCCTCTCTCCTTTTGTTTGTTGCACTCAAATTCTAGAAGTTTGTGTTACAGGTAGAAAATCAATATGTTAATTTCTGCTGAATGTGCCTATGTGGATGTTGTGTTTGGGTTAGGTGAGCACAAAACTGAAGTGAATGCTTTTAAGTGGAATCCCAGGATTTTGTTTGCATTGCTTATAGCAGAGTTGGTGGATAACAAACCCCCATGTTTTGCAAATGGATATAAACTCCTGTGGAGTACAGTAACTTCTGTATTAGTGCAAATACTGCAAGCAATTTCTACAGTATTGAGCTCACAAAGGTGAAGGTGAAAAATAACTAAAAGCCTGAATAATGTCAAAATCTAACAGTATTGAGATTAATTGACTATGCTTAACTGTGACAGTGCTGACTTCCCCCTGCTAAAGAATTTGGGAATAAATGATAGATTTTGAGATGAAGCTAATCATCAGATGATGCTGAGAAAGTATGTTTTTACTGATAATGACAGGGTGTATTTTTGCAAAATGGTTACTTCTGTCTGCAGCTGATAAAGATGGCCCTTTAATGTTTGTCGTGGGAAAATTAATTGACCAATTGGATTTTAAAGAGTAATTTCTGAGATAAGGCAGCACCTTGTAGATGAGCGTGAGAAGTCTGTTCCAGTTGCAGGAGCTGCTTGTAGAGTCCCATGGAGACAGGAGAAAACTAAAGGAAATATGTCAAAATGAAGTGCAAAGAGTGACGAAGCGTTTTGTGCCTGAATCATTTGCAACTTTACAACTGGTTTAGGCATCAGGAATATATTTCCCACCCTTCCTAGGTGGCCAAGCAATAACATAGGAGCTGCATGTGGCTCATGGCCAGTTGAAGTCTGTCTTGCTGTTTGCTGTGGCATGTTTAGCAGGTGTGTCAAGTAGACTGAGATAGCAGAGAGAGGGAGTGGTAAGAGTTTAGCTGTTGGACATACTAAGAGCTAATTGTTGAAATTTCACTCTAGAAGTTTGGCTATTACTGGAGGAGAAAACTCTTTTGTTCAAAAGCTGAAAGTCTTTTTCTGAATGGAAAGAAATGTAGTACTAAATTTCTAGTCCTGACTCCCCCTGTATTTGAGTAACATCTAGTCATTAGGTCTATTACATGCAGCGTGTGGATTCCCTACGCTGGGTGAAAAAAAGGTAAGATGCAGTCAAAGATATGCTGAAGGATGCCTTGGAAGGATGTTACAAACGGATGAATAGGCTTCAGAAAGGATGTCATAGTACTATTACTGCTTTTTAAGCCACTGCTTATTGTTGGTTTTGGAGAAAACATTTTGGATCAATTACTGTTTTTAATTGTAAGAGTCTATCCAGTTACTGTGGTAGGTCTCCAAGCTGACTTATATGTCTCCAGATATTTTAAGTCTTTCTTGACACGAATGCTTCCATACCTTCTTCCAGCTATTTATTCTTTTATTTGAAATCAAATTTCAAGCTATTGAAGCTGTAATGCTGTAAATCTGATCTTCAGTAAGAGTTCTTGTAAACTATTTTTACAGAGTCCTGTGCTGATAATTACTTCAATTTCCTGTGAGTCTGGTGGTTTACATGGAAAGATCCTAGGGTCTCATTGAATACACGCATACATAAGCAAGAGCTGAACTTAGAGGTCACTGCACTTCCTGATTTAAGGACATACTCATATTGTGTCTGAAGAGAAAGCTCCCCTTGAGGAACTACAAGGGAGAAACTGTAAATAAGCACAGGGATTAGACTCAGTCCGGTATTTATGGCATTGCAAAGTTACTTACATGATTTAGCCCCATTAAGTTTAATGGAATTATTAACTGCCAAGTATTTTAAATAAGATTTCTCAGTCTGGATGTAAATTAAATGTGACCTTGTACTGCAGTTTATGGAGTACATACAGAGAGTCCAGCGTTTTATGTCTGAACATTAACTTTTCATAATATTTCTTTGATGCTGAATTTTACTAAAACTCTTTAAAGGCATCAGCTAATTAAACATCAAAATATTATTGGTTATTGCTATCATCTTTGGAAGCTGCAATACTCAGAAAATTTCAGGAAGCAGTTACCCTAATTGCTTAATTCTAAACAAATATTTGTTATCCATTAGGTGCCTGTTAATGACTCAAACTTGACTCCATTGTAATTGCAGAAATATACTGAAAATGACATAAGAAGCTGTTGTCTCGGTGAAATAAAGCAAACTGAAGAGAAGTACACTGAAACTCTGGAATCAATAGAGAAAGTAAGATACTATTTATAGAATTGTGTTTTTATAACAGTCTAGAAAATACAGTGACACAGTCGATGTATATACATTTTTTTTTCTTGTAGTTTTTCATGGTGCCATTGAAAAGGTTTCTGTCAGCATCAGAGTTTGATACTGTTTTCATCAACATTCCTGTAAGTAATTGCATATTTAATGAACAAATATGAGAGTGTTTTCATCAACCATAGATAGTTATGATATATTTGTGTTGTATGCTACTGCACAAAATGTTTATTTGAAATGTGGTGCACAATGCATTTATGTAGCTACTAGGACAGTTGATAAAAAAGTATGTGCACGCTTGTTTTTTTCTCTGCTTGAGGGAGTAGCATAAGAGAAGTAGTATTATTGTGTCAGATAGTGAATAGTTATAAACTGAAGTATCTTTGACCCTTAGAAGCTAATAGTTTATAGAAAATGGGTTATCTTCTAATATATTCTGGTATTTTAGTGATGGTACAAAGTTGTGACCGTTAGGTTGCCTACCACTGTGTGCTAAGTGGTGCTTTCATGAGGATTTCTATAGCTACTCTGCAAAACCTTGAATCTATTCTGGTTTCAGAATATGGCACTGGAAAGGATAAGGAAATCTTCTGTGAAATATCTAGGAGACCTCTTTTTTTGACTGAAGTCTTAAAGGTTTCTGCGATTATTACTTTATTCCATTTATTTTTGTCCTAATCATAATAGTATGACAATTTACATATATTTTTAGTTGATGTAAATATACAGCAGATGTCTTTAGAGGAAGACATTGGACATGGTCTGCAGCCTCTCTCAGTACAGACAAATGAAAGGACTGTAATTTTATGAGGCACACTGTGACTATAGGGTCCCCAGAGTGTGGCCCATGGGCCACATGAAATCTTCATTGTCTGTAAAAGATCACCTCTGTTTTGGCCATTTCTGGCACGTGCCGCAGGCTTCAGGGCTATAGGAGGTGGTGTTGATTTTTTTATTCTGTGGGAACCTGGTCTGTAAGAATGTTTTAGTTGCTGTTCCAGCACCATCCTGACAGAGGCTAAATTACAACAGCTATTACACTGAGGATAATACCTGATATCTTGACATATTTGTCCTGCTATTAAAGTTTTCACCCTCGATGTCAATTGCTGTAATTTTCTTCTCTTTGAATATTAGTCCAAAATACTACCACAGATACCAGTAACCTACTTGTCCTGAAATATGTCAGCTGCCTGTAGAGATCCCTTTGTGTTTGAAAACAAATTTATATTCTGTCCTACACTAATGTTTCTTATTCATTGCAAATAAGGCCCCGATGTGCCCTACCTAAGTTGCTGTAAACCTCTTTGCTAAGGCTCCGTGCACCTAGGCATGTTGATTTATGTGCAATAAAAGATCTAATGCCAGCCAATGTGAAACACTGCACAGGGGTATAAAAAGAGCTTACATGCTGTAAGCACAAACTGAGAGGCCAGCCTAGTCACCACTTGTTAAAGAAATGTTAGGGGATCAGATAGGAGGAGTAAAAAGAACAAAACCTGTTTATTTGAAACTAGGAAAACACGTAGTAAGCTGTTATATTTAGGGTGCTTCACTTCGTTTTTCATCATCAGCATTCAGTATTCTGCTGTTAAAAGGTGGTGCTTCTTTCTGACTCCAGTAACATTTCATAGGCATCCAAAAACATTTAAAGAAATAAATATAGAGCTTGCCCAAGCCAAAAATACCTGCAAATGCTTTGTCTGCTTGGACCTTGTCTCTGCCGCAATTCCTCAGCAGGAAGGCTGGAGGGCAGTGGAAGCTTGCTTTAAACTAAAAATAGCTGTTATACGGAGCTCTACAGCAAACTGTGATGTGGAGAGCAAGTGCAGTATTCTCAGAAGAGGGTGGATTTGCCTCTGTTAAAGGGTTGTGGTGAAGGATTGGTGATTTAGGGTGATACTATATTCCTTGTATAGACTCTGAAAGATGCTTGTTGGGCAAAATAATCTGCTGATGTCAAAATATATTTTATTTTTAAGAAAAAAAAAAAAAGAAAAAAACAAACAACTGCCCCAAACTACTTGCCAGTCTAAAGAGAGTGCCTTTCATTAGGTCTCATATTTCAAAGTTCTGTCCTATAAAATGTATATATGGCTCTATGTTTGTGTGTGGGTATGCGTATATATGTATACATTTGTATGTACACCTGTACATACCTACATGCATTTGAATTGAGATGTATATATGGACATATGGAGGGAAAGAGAGGTGGAAGCATGTGTAACAGCTATTGAAGTGTTGGAAGTTTCATTGACTTCTAATGATGTTAACATCAGTTTAATTTTAAAACTTGACTTTGCATTGGAGATAGAAAAATTAGATGCTTAGAAAGACATTCCCTTAGCATTAAGCCATTTTTCAGGACTGTTGCTTATTTGAGTTCCTGTGCACTCCTGAGAAAATGTGTTTCTGTAATATATTAATTGAGAAGCATTTATGTAAATAATGTCTTTGCTGCAACTTAAGATTTTGAAAATATGGCCATACAATTGCTAGCAACTGAATTTGATCTAAGGTTTTGCTCCCTGACCTGTGATGTGATTGACCTTGTGTGTACTCGTGGTGTACTCTCAGTTTTTATCAATGTGAAGTGAAATGTTTTCACTTAGTTCACAGCTCAGCATTGTGTATTGTTTTTTGTAACATATACTTTACTGCATTAAACTATCTTCACTGGCTTTTTGTTTAAACAGTCCTCTAGTTTTCATTGCAATGGTTTGTACAGTCAGTTATCCTGATTTCAAAACTTTTTAACCTGTTTTGAATTAATTTCTTGTGAATTCTCTGACAGTATCCATACAATGTTAGACTGATGTAATTTCCTTACAGTTGCTTACAGATTTCTTTATAGTAGTGAACAAGTAAGGTAAGTTGTTGTTATACTCAGGGAGTAAATCTTTCTGCAATATTCTTGTCTTTCAGCCATTAGTTGTCTGCTGTATTGGGAAACTCATTATGATTGCAGTTAACTTAGCACTAGAACATCACTAATTGACCAATGTAATGTACAAAACTAATTTTTCACAGCTTAGGGACATGAACCATTACTTTATCTTGTCACTAAAGCATTTACTTGACTTGCTTAATTTTAAAATTATCATTATAAAATGAAGATGAATTAACAGTGCACGTTCCAAGCTAGAATAAATTAGCCTCTAATAGATAGTTCTTGGAATTTAGTTTTTATTGTTGCAATATATGGAAGACGTGGCAAACCTTGAAATTAGGTTCTACTCTCAAATGATCTGTTTTCCAATTTATTGAAAATAATGGATCTAGCATGAAATAATTTATTTTTATATTTAAGTCTTTAGGTCATTCTGTTTTTAAAAACCTTACCCTCTCCCCATTACTATTTTTAAGGATTTGGTGAAAATTCACAGGAATCTAACACAGGACATCAATGATTCCATTGTTAACAAAAATGATCAGAACCTATATCAGATTTTTATTAGCTACAAGGAAAGGTAAGATTTATGCACTCTTATTTATTGTGATGATTTCTACTCAATTTGGTAAAGTATTTTACTGTATTTTTGTTGAAGAATATTTCTGAAACAGGATTGAATTTGACGTCAGTATACTTACTAAGCTAGTATTTGGTGTTTTGAGCCTGGAAGTCAAAATGTAACCTATTGCTGTATGAGCCCTCCCTCTTACCACCAGTTTTGCCAATATAAAAAATAAAAAACATAGACAGGTAACATCTGTATTATGAAAAAAATAGCTTATTTTGCACAGCATTTTCTTCATGCAAATAACCCCAGGTATTTCATAGAGTGTACCTGCATTGTTTAATGGATAAATTATTATAAAAGGGGAAGAAGGGGGAAAATAAGGCAAGGGTATATATTAAGGCTATTCCATGTTAAGGAAAACAGAAGAGGCCGTAACTTGAAAGAAGAGGAAGCAGGTGCAAAAGTGAAGAGACTGGGGTCTTACCTTACCCTGCAGTCAAAGGTGTGACAATAAAGCAAATGCACTCTACCTTCAAACTGTGAAAAATAGCTAAGCTGGTAACAGGGTAGCTGTGGCAGCATGCCAGGCCCTGTAGGCTAATTGCCAATTTTTTTACCCACCTTTTCAGATTGTTTTTTGTGCCAGCACTGAACAGCTGTTGGACTGTAGAGATGAATTTATATGTCTGTGGTACTTAGATGAAAAACGCTTGTACTGTGGGTTATAGTGCTGACCTACCTTGGAGTAACCCTTGGGTTATGGTTAAAAATTAGTTCCTTCTGGGACCAGAGCAGGAAAGGCCTGTGGGGAGCTAATTGGATTTGCTTGAGGATGATGGGGAAGGAGGTTGTTGCAGTAATAACAGCCTCGTGAGAAATTAGCCAGCAGCATCCAGAAAGCCTTAGACAGGAGAGTAGTTTTCTGAGGGAGGAGGGTGTCCCAGGCTGCCCATAAACAGTCTTTTCTTCAGAGACCCTCTGTCTCAGCTTATATGTTGGAGCAGGACATAGTTATTTCCCAGGCAGTTAGGCTTTCTGCTGCTGTAGGAGGGGATTAGGGGACAAGAAGTTGTTCTGGAAAATGCTTAGCTTTCAAAAGTACTTCTGAAATGTGTGCTAGAAGGGGAAACAGAGGACACTGAAAAGAAACCTCAAGTTTATGTTATACAAAAAGGAAACAGATGGAGGTAGACTCAGTGTCTTAACCATGTAGTGAATAAAAGTAATCAGAAGTGGTAAGTGTTAAATCAGTATCATTACTTTAATTGTGAAAAAAGAATTAAAACAAACAAACAAACAAAAAACAAAAAACCAAAACCCGGTAAAGATTAGGGAAGAGAAAAAGAAACTTAGGAAACCCCAATGAACCCCCCAATTTAAAGCACACAGAAGGAATCACATCAAGAAATATAGGAAAATGTGAACTAAAACAGCACTCTTTGCAATGAGACTAGCAGGAAGAAGCACTTCAAAGAGGGGCAAGAAACTCCTATCATAAAATCAGGCTCTTATAAGAAGCATTGCTGCCCTTGACAACTAATGAAAATTTCTTGAGTTTTCATACACTATTGTTTTGATCTGAGAGATCACATGATATAACCTGGTAGAAACTGTTGGAGATGGATCAGCCTGGATAACCTGCAAGTTCTTTAAAGGATAGCTGTAATTAATCCTGTTAAGCCTGTGCTACAGGATTTATTCATTACAACCTTGGAAATCTACAATGTTGTAAATACTATATATGAGTCCTGTATTTATCAGAACATACCCATGTGAATATTAACGGAAGTTGCAATGATTTGACAGCATTTTGAAGGTAGATCAAAATTGTCTTTTCTTGAATATTCTTCCTTGTATTCATGCTGCCCATTGAAGTCTGTGGCTAAATCCTATCCTTGCTTATTTAAGCACTGCTCCTTTCGAAAGTAGGACTGTTGACCATGTACTTGTGAAAAATGATCAAAGATTGTTCTTAAATAAGCAAATGTTGCTTTTATTCTTTATTTCTTGCTTTGATTTAGATTGGTTGTTTATGGACAGTACTGCAGTCAAGTGGAGATAGCGATATCATGTTTAGACAACATCTCTAAGACAAAAGAAGATGTTAAATTGAAGTTAGAGGTATCAGTATTTTTTACCATGTATATATACATATAAAAAACCCCATATGTTTCAATGCATATGCTGTACTTACATCAAGGTCAAAAACTTCTTGATGAAAAACTATCTAGACTGAATGTGTTTTCCTTTTCATTTTTTTTTGGAGCCTCTGATAAAATTAATATGTGAGCTGTTGTGGTATACATCTTGGCACTTGAGTGAATGGAGTTTTGACACTGACATCAGTAGGGTTAGGGTTTTTTTCAGGAAGTGATCAGTAGTGATATCCTTCTGTTTATCATGACACGTCAGCCGAGAACACAGAATTGTAGAATCACTCAGGTTGGGAGGGACCTCCAGGCTGAACAAGCCCTAGTCCCACAGCCTCCCAGGGCTTGCTGTCAGCCACAACCCCTGGATCCTTTCCAGCAGAGCTGCTTCTTAGCTGGTCAGCCCTCAGGGTTAGCATGTCCCTGGTTAGTGCATGCCAGGTGAAGGACTTTGCCTTTGCCTTTGCCTTGCTGCCTTCATGTGGGGAACCTGTTGGACATGCTCCAAAGAGTGTCACCTGCACCTCTAATCTGGTGGTGTCTGCAGACTTGCTGTGGGTGTTCCCTGTCTCTTCCTGCAGATCACTGCTAAAGATATTAAATGGGAGGGGTCCCAGGACAGACCCCTGAGGAGGTCTAGCTACAACTGTCCGTCAGGTAGTGTAGGAAACATTAGTCACTGCTCCTTTTGAGCCTCCTGATCTAGCCAGTTTTTCATACACCTAGTAGTTCATTCATCTGGAGCATAGCATCCCAGCCTCGATATCAGGATGCTATGGGGAGCTGATGTTGAAAGTCTTGGAAAAGTCAAGGTGGACTCTCCCCACCCTTTCACAGATCTAGCCGTTTCATTGTGAAAAGAAGTCAAATAGGTCAAGCTGGATATTCTCAGTCACCTTCTTCATGTGCCCAGAAATTACTTCCAAGAGGACTTGTTCCTCCATAATTCTTGCAGGGGCTGAAATGAGACTGACTGGCCTATAGTTTCCAAGATTTTTTTTTTTTTTTTAAGATGGATGTAATATTTGTCACCTTCTCTCTGCTTATAGACAATATCTTTTTTTTTTTTTAATTTTTTTTGTAGTTCAATAGGACACCTAATTTCTGTTGTCTTTGTGATGTGTGTTCTGTTCTTTCTCATGCTGTAGAAATATCTAAGAGCAAGTGTCTAGACAGTCTTTTTTTGCTTAGCTATTATTGGCATATTAGCTGTTTTCCTTCATTTTGTTGATATTCTTATTTCAAGCTGCATATAGTTGCTTGGTGCATATATCACTGAATTTTCATATATATCACTTGAATATTTTAATTTCTATCCCTCTTACTTTTTTCTGCTTTGAACTAGGAATGTTCCAAGAGGGCCAATAATGGGAAATTTACATTGCGGGATCTTCTGGTGGTTCCAATGCAGAGAGTTCTAAAATATCACCTACTGCTCCAGGTATTTTATTTTTGAAATTTAAGGGGGCTGAGAGCAAAGCTGTGATTGTTTATCATCAGTGGATTGTAAGAATGAGAGCTGAAGGCCTTTATCAAAGGGAGGTAATGGACATTTCCAAGGATGTGAAGCTGATCTGTTACGAAACAAAATCTAGTGAAGCGCGTTTTCTTTCAGAGAGCATTCCTCAGAGCTGAAGCATACCTGGGGAAAAAAGAATAAAACACAATTTCTTCCTCAATATATGAACCTTTTGTTCTCGGTATGTTTAAAATGGTTAGTAGTACCAGACTATAATCATGGTACTTTGAAATGTGAACCATTACCCCCAAAAAGAGGAGGCTGGACCATACTTAAAGCATACTTTTAAGATGCTTCTTTACTGTTATAAATTACAATAAAGCCATATTTATTTTGAAATACTTCTTGTTATAACCCACAAAGCATTAGCTTTTGCAGTTAGTCCTGTAATAAGGTTGGAGAGTCTTATAAATTTAATTTGGTCGCTGTGCCAGGAGACTCATTAGTTGAGCTGCAAAGAAATATATTACTATATTAGACTGTCAACCATGCTGATGCTTGTAAAATGTCATTTTAAAAAGATGTACTGCTTGTATGTGAAGCATAATTTTGACTGTGCAGAGCAACAAACATTCTATAATATTAAATTGTTTGAACTATTTCTGTAAATAAGTCATCAACATTTTGATCAATGGAAAATTGGAAAAAACAAAATGAATGGTACAACTGCTTTTTAAAAAAATCTTGTGAGATCCGAGTCATGATTTTATACTCAACCTGTATATTATGAAAAGATGATATACAATGTGACACTATGCTCTGTGTGACACTCGTAGTACAAGAAGGAAATATTTAACAGGTTTTGAAAGAAAAAAAATCCAGTAAATTTTTAGATTGAAATGTGAAGTATAAATACTTATTCATTCATTTCCTGTGATTTTATCAAGTTCTTATGTTAGCTGAAATGTATAATTCTCAAATTATAAAGAAATAACTGCAAGAGGTTACTTTTTCACTTCATAAAAAACAAAAAAGCCCCTTTATTTTCCATATGGGATATGGCTAAAAAAATTCTTTCAACATTTACATTTGATTTAAATATGTCTTCTGAGTGAGCTTTATCTTACGCATAATGAGACAGTGCCTTCTTTTAAGCAGTGCACAGTTTAGCTGAGATTTTATTGCAAGCATACATCTCTCTCTACAGACGATTCCATGCTTTGGAATGGGATGGCATACTGTATAGTAACGTGCAAATGAACTCAGGTGTTTACCTGTGCTTTCAGCACGCACATACAGTAATGATCTGATTTGGTAAGTTTTAAGTGCGAGACAGACCAAATTAGCTTCTAATGATGGCTCTTTATCAGCTAAAGTCAGTGTTTAGGCTGTACAGCAGTCCTCCTTAAACAGTTGATAATAACCTGTTTGCAGTAGCTTGCACTCAGCTATAGGCTGCTCACTATGGGGTTGAAGATGTGAGTTCCTGGGTTGCATTTTCTGGTTTTGACTTTTTTCTTTTTTTTGGGTGGGGGAACAGTGGGGATGAGCAATGACAACTTCAATTTATAAACTGACAGTGGGTGAAAAGTTTTAATTGCTCTGTCCACAGGAGCTGGTGAAGCACACTACTGATCCCATGGAGAAGGCAAATCTAAAACTGGCACTTGATGCAATGAAGGTAAATATTCATGGCAATGAAGTATTTGTCTTTGTTGGCGGTTAAAATGGTAGCTCAGAACTATGTTTCCTGGAGGAGATCATGTTGTTCTTAGCACATCAAACATATTTTCACAGGTCACTATGAGCTTTGTGAGTATGTCAGGGCAAATATATAGTTTGAGGGCTTTTGTTCAAGTCTGGTAAACAAGTTCAGTAGTTTTCTGAAGTGGAGGGTTTATGAAATGGAGCTTCCTTATTTCAGTTTACTTCTACATCATTTGTTCTGTCATACAATGAGATGAAAAATAAGTGTTTCAGTAATGTTGGTCTCATGTCCAAAATTTAGGAATATTTCTGCCACTAAGTCGATTCTAATCAAGGTCAGTAGTTTCCCAGTGAGATAGAGACTGTTATCTTTCTTCATAAGACTTTTCTTTTGTCCTATTAACATGATCTCTGTGGTTTACCTTTGAAAGCAGTAGTGTCTTTCTGGAGGTAAAGCATCTGTCACTGTATATTCACCTGTAAGTGGTACGAACAAATGCTTTATAAAATAGCTTTACTGCCTTATGGATAAGGTAAAAAACTATGTGTTCCACCACAGAGCGTCAGAAATGAAGCACAGTTCTGCTTCAGTTGGTTACATGGCATGAATTGTGAGATTCATGTGCTGGACTTGTGAAATTTCCTCTATCCTTTGTGTGGAAAGTGGGGAAGAAGCCTACATGGCATAGGTCATATCTCCTGTTGTAATCTGTTATGGTCCACATAAGATGCTGAAGTCAGAATAGGTTAGTTTTGGGTCACACAGCTGTGTCATTATGTGACTGTCTGCCTTGAATGCCTGGAATACAGACAGGCTCATGAATGAGATGTTTGGTTCCCCTTTTTTGTTGTCTGTTTTTGTACAGCGAATGCAGAGAGCACCAGCGGTTTAATCTCCCAAAGAGAGATGCCTGAAATGGGATGGCACAGTGTTGCTTCCATCTAGTGGCAAGCCATGCATCCTGGCTGCTGCAAACTGGCTAGGAAAATAACCCTGTTCCTTTATTCCCCCTGGTCCCCCTTTTTCTTTCCTGTTTGCTGGCGTGCTTCATTGTTTTTGGTGGCTGTTGGACTGAAAGTAAAAGACCAAATCAGAAATCTCTTGCTGTGGCACTTACGTGCTGGCTAGTAGGACATAAGCAGTCAATTAAAAAAACCCCTCAAACCACCCACCCCTCCCCCAACCCACCAAAAAATCGAGGTATGAGCATATCTCTTAAGGTTGCAGCATTGTTTCCCTCTTGATTTACTGTACCTTCTTACAATACTCCGTGCCAGTGTGGTAGAAGTAACTGCAGCATTGGTATGTTGCTTCTAAAAACTGTGGTGTGGCTGCTGAAAATAAAATGGCTTTGGAAAAACTATTAGCAAAGTGGTACTGCCCCCCAAGAAAGAAAACTCTAGGAAAGATTATGCTGTCAGATTTCTTTTAGTAGCAAGAAGAAAGGTTATTTAATTTCTACACTAACTCTCTTAAGATTGATGTGAACGTATCCAGTACAGATTCATTTGGGAAGCCAGCATAATGACTGCAGCTATTCTTAGATTCTGATTAAAAAGGTCTTAGGAAGAAGATGTATTTTTCTCCCACCCTCCAAATTTGTGACCGTATTGAAGGAATATTGTACAGGCAAGTTGTGAAGATCAGAATGGCTTTTCTAGCTGCTGTTCTCAGCATCCCTGACCTTACCAATTACCTCTTCTGCTCACTCTTCACCTTTAACCATAAACAGAGAAGCCCCAGAAATTGTTAGTATTACTCAAGCATGTTCAGATCATTTTAAAGGCTTAGTGAAATGTGTACAAGCACATGTTCTGGTAAAGGGGACAGTAATGATCTCAACCTGCGACTTCAGGTAGTATATCCTGTTAAAAGCCCCTTTTAAATTTTTATGTGTAATGGGTTCTTGCTGCTGTGCCACGGGAAGAGCAAGATCCCACTACTACTGGGGCAGTAGCTTCTTCTCTCCTAATAAGCATCCAGGCTTATGATATGTTTAAACCTTACATGATGCTTTTGAGTTGCCTTACGTATGTTTTCTACTATATGCTTTATTTACCTTCTGTTTTATTCCCAGATATTGGATGTTGTTGACTGCTTTTTTGGCAGTGTGATGCATAAATTACGCTTACATCTTTAATATTGAAAACAAGACATTAACAAAAATCAGAAAAAATCAGCCCTTTTTTACAATTTATTATGTGTTTCCCTCTTTCTTGCTACTAAATTTGTATTTCAATTGATATGATGAAGAAAGTTGTAAATATGATTGAAGATAAGCAGAAGCTTTTTTCCTTCTTTATTTAGACATACATGTTGGTAATTCTTGAACCTTAAAGGTAGCTTTTTAAAAAAATTACTAAATATGCAGATAAGTTAAAGACAAAATTAGAAATAAATTTACCAATATAATATACTGAAGTGATATGTTGTGAAAAACTGTTTTTTCTTTTTTTCTGTTGATGCTCTAGGACTTGGCTCAATATGTAAATGAAGTGAAGAGAGATAATGAAACACTCCGTGAAATTAGACAGTTTCAACTATCAATAGAGAATTTGGTATGTGATACGTTTCATTTATACAGTTTTTAAATCACTTTTGATCAAATATATTGTTAGATGTATTTTTTCCCCATTTCATATGAGATTATAGTATTCTTGGTAATATTTAAGAATGCTTTGCTTGGTTTAGAATGAGATGAATATTTAAGTCCAGAAATCTCTGCTATTTTGGGGGTCTGTAGTTAAATTATATTTGCATAGTTAAAGTTTTGTATTTGCACAGTGACTCAGGTGTTTTTGTAATGGGAACACTTTTCCCATTTGAAGACAAAAATGGAATGGCCTGGCCTGATGAATTAATGTATTTAGTTTAGATGAAAGTGAGGAAAAGGTGGTGTTTTCAGGCCTGAAAAGCCCTTTTTTTGGGGGTAAGAGGAATGAGTGGTCTAACATATGAATATGTTGTCATCTTGACACTTTTGCAATATTGAATTGTACATATTACTTCTGTTGCAGAATCATTCCCTCTTACAGTATGGAAGACCTCAAGGTGATGGGGAAATAAGGATAACTACATTAGATAAACGTGCAAGGCAAGACAGGTGATGGCAAGACTTCTGATGTTTTCTATTAAAAAGCCTGTAAAGTAACGTTCTTAGACGTCAGCTCAATGATTCTTCAGAGTACTTTTCATTTCACTGTGCATTCACAGAACCTATCCACCATTTACCAAATGAATTTACAAAGTGATTCATGGGAAGTTAGCTATTACATTATCATCTAAGATCACCCAAGTCCCTTGCAAGTAGTAAGTCTCTAGCAAAAACACCTCCAGTATTATTTGTTTCGTTATTCAGGAGTTTAGTTGTTCACCTTCAAAATTTTAAGTGCCATGGGCAAAGGTATGTAAAGTAAGACCTTGGGTGTTGGCTTTCTGGAGTGTTTTTAACCATCTTTATATTGTATTTTCATAGGCATATCTTCTTGTTTGATCTAGCTGTAATTGTTTGCAAACGGAGAGGTGATAATTATGAAATGAAGGAAATAATAGATCTTCAGAAATACAAAATTACAAATAACCCTACTACTGATAAAGAAAATAAGAAGGTAAATATTTGTTGCTAATTCATATAAAATGTGTATTGTTAGCAGCATTTTGAAACATCTTGCAGGAGTTCAGAATGTATATACAATCTATTTCCAAAGTTTGATGCTTAAATGTAAGCTGAAGTAAATATAAGGTGTATCAACTTTGTTTATTTTGATGTAATTAAAATGTTTGAGTAAGTAATTTCTAAGTGAACACAATAATGTGGTCTTGCTGTTCCCAGAATTGGGGAACTAAGAATTTTATAAATGCTTATGCTTCTTTTCCACCACCCCGCCTTTCCTTTCTTCATAACTGATGACGTTTGTATTGCCAATCTTTTTATGCAGTGGTCTTATGGCTTCTACCTCATTCATATCCAAGGTCAAAATGGTTTAGAAGTTTATTGCAAAACTAAAGACTTGAAGAAAAAATGGCTTGAACAATTCCAGATGGCTCTGTAAGTATCTTTTTATTAAAGTAGAATCACGTTCATCACCATTGTAAGGATATCACTTAAATTATGCTGAGCTGTGTTCATGCTTTGATTTTTTTAATACAGCCTAGTTACCTATATTATTTGACTTGCTGAGGTAGAACTAACATCCTCATGAACAGATTATTTCCCTGAAACTCCTCTTGGAAAAGAAAGAGGGCACTCTAGGCTATGTATTAATTTCCAACTTGGGTGCTAAGACTGTTTTAGTAATACCGTCTTAAGCAACCAGGGGGAAATATTAATTATTTTAGCAATAAATATCTAACATAATAGTGACACTTTTTCTCCTCCCATTTTTATTTTGATTAATTGAAATATATTTTTGAAAGATGATGCTGATGATTTGAGAGGGGATTCTGGCATCTTTCCTAGTGGCTTTTAATTAATGTTTTATTTAGTATTTGGATGAAGTTGCTTGGCTTATTAAATTTAGTTTCAGAAGACTGATTTCCTTTATATGTTTTTACCTAAAGGAGGAGGTTGCTTTATACTTCTTGAAAAGTTCTTCAGGTGTACCACAGTGGATTACATTATTGTTATGCAGCATGAGCTTTATTTCCATTTCTGATCCTTGTCAGAAAGACAAACATGATTATTGACACCTCAGGTATTCTGATTAAATTTACAATATATGAACAAGAGAACCGGATGACAGGGCAATGCTTACTTTATGGTTAAAAAAAAAAAAAAAAGTGTGAGGGGGAGTAAGATACTCGCAGTGAAAATAGAGAGACTGCATTAATAAAGATTGTTTTGGATATGATGGTAAAAGTATGTGGGTTTGGAAAAAAGGCTATTATGAGCTTATAAGAGTGAAACTCGCTCATAAACTATATATATATATTTATTTAAAACCTTAGTATGATGAGTATGTTGCAGAAAGCTGACTACTTTGCCTCTTTATGTCCTTGCACTCTCCCTGTTACACTTTGTGCACTGGCATTGATAATTACTTAAACATAGGTAAAATGTGTACGAAAAGCTTGAGGAATTCAGATTTATCAGGTGTAGCATCGCAAGTATTGATCACTCTTCAGTTGTCCTGTCTCAGTGCACAAAAAATCCCAACCAACCCAAACAAGTCAGCCAAGGAGGGCAGTAAGAGAGCTATGTTTTTTTCCCAGGAGCATATCTTCAGTTCTTCCCAAACACTTTAATGGTTCTGTGCAGGAATGCCCTCTCACTGCCGTGTGTGAGGTGAGTGAGTGCAGCTGCATGTCCTTATGCAGCGTTAGGCACCAGCCAGTGCCCCGAGCTGCTCGTGCATGCGCCTTTGCGAGCAGCGGTTACTGCTGCCAGTTTCCCTGTGTGAGCAGAACAAACGGGACCTGAAGGGTTGACAAATTCACGTGCTACTCTTTCCTCTTGGGCAGATGGAGTTGGTCATTGAAAATGAGTGGTTGTGTCAGCCTTGTCTTGCATGGATGTTTGTGCTTCTCGCAATCCTATACCTCTAGTTTAATCTTTTCCCACTGAAGGCTGTAATGCAGAGGCATGGGAACTGGAGCAGCAGGATTGCTGCAGGTCAGGGATGAGGTGCAACAGGACATAATGGCATTATTTGCATCGGGCAATGCTTTTGCTTCCTTATATTTATAACCACTAGGATTGAAAACAATGGGGACCTTTTATGCTTTCCAAAGTTTTTATACCTTTCCCCCATGTCTGTTACATGAGTCTGACTTCATAGCATATTTCCCTCATCAGCTTTCCCAAAACATATCTCAGTGTATGTAGCGATAATTATGGTCTGATGCATGCTGAGGCACAAGAGTTTGTATTTGGGAATAAGCTAAGGCAAGTGTTTTGAACAATTTGCTGGTTTGATGTGTTGTTTTCAGGGATCTCATTGTCTACCATGTAGGTTATCTGTCCTAGTGTGATTCTACTCTGAAAAGCGGCCATGATTGAAATTATGCTGTTATTCATCATACTCAATTATAATTGCTGCTTCCATGTGCAAAATACTTCTCATAACTTAAAAATCTTACTGAGACTGCAGAACCAGCACAGTCAAAGAGGTGAATTACATTATTTTTTGATTATCAGAAATGATTTTGTTTACTGAGTTCCAGACAGAAATTTCAATGCTACTTTGTTGCATTCAGGATAGCATTCTGTATTAAGTCAGGTCTGTACAAGTGTTAATCTAAGAACATAACAAGGCAACAAGTTAGGATCTCTCTTAATATTTTTAAATTAAGAATTAACCTCATTGCCACCAAAACAGCTTTATTGGCATGACCATGTTAGCTAGAGTGTAATTTTTTTATTTTTATTTTTTAGGAGCTTAGCTGTTTATACCAGTGTATGAACAACAGTAATGATCGTTATAGTAGTGAAAAGGCACCTGCTGTTGAGATGCTGGTGTCATTGAGATGAGAATTTGTCTCCACATTGGGAAGCTTATGTTATTGATGAAGTATGAAATTGAGAACACTGCTTTGCTGGCTGGACTTGGTTTAGGTTTGGATGGCAGGAATACATCAGACACATTTGATATGGAAAATCTTTAAAGGAAGGAAGGATGAAATCCTAGTGCAATTTCCAGAGTGTTACTTCTCAGACTAGTAAATTTCTGTTAGAAAACTAGTTTCACAAACCTGTGAAAATATTCTATCTCTTAGCCAGCTCTGTTGTTACTGTGGTATATTGTGAGTTGTTTTGTTGTGAGAGGGGTTGGGAACGATGGGTTACTGGTCACAAGAAACTGAATAAATTGTCCTTATTCATATGGCACTTCTGTTGCTACAGTATGTATTTGCTGCTTTTCTGAGACTACTACTTTATTTAGAAAGTATGTAACACCAAAACACCGCAGTTTTTATTTTTCCTAAGAATTTCACGAGGGTTATTGATGAAGCTTGTTCATACACTACATCCTCAGCAGCAATGATACTGTGGCATGTCTGCACTGAATTTGATGCTATTAACCTACTCACAATACTCTCCACAGTCGAGGCTGTGTCCCCTCCTCTCCTTCCTGCTGCCATGGCCCAGCCCTCCACCCCTCTAAAAAATAAAAAATGTGTACAAACGTAAAATATCTGATTATTTGGGAGCATGAGATTTTCTAGATGACAATAAAATGGACACTGGGGCAGCACAGTTAACACTACAGTCAAGCTCTTGAAGCTGAAACTCTGGTTAGAATAATAAATCTGCTGAGTTTGAGAGGTTTTCGTAAAGCTAGCAGGCAGAGACCAGTGGAAGATGTTTTAACAGGATCCATCATATGGTTGAGTTCTCTCTTGATGTGCCTGTTCCCTCACTGATGCAATGGGAAGTTTTGCATGCACAGGGGGAGTGTAACCGCTCATTGCCTTGGAAGAGAAGTGGTGCTTAACAGTGATAGTGGTTAATTTGAGCAGTTGCTATTTTGTTCTTGGAATTCTGTTCATAGTAATGGATAAGTCTATAACTGTATGGGTAAATAAGCACCTTTTAAAAGGTAGCACTACAAAGACTTTACTATATTAGATGTGGAATGTTTGATTTTAGCATGCCAAGTAGCATTGGTTTAAATGAAAAGTCATTCCATATCCAGGATAATATTAACAGAAGTGTACAGCCAAATTACTGCACCAAATTACTCAGCCAAATTAGAGACATCATGTATTAAGTGAAAGTTTGTCAGCAGTGTGATAAATTGCGTGGTTTATTTGCTGTAATTAAACCATTAAAAACTCAAAAACTGATTGCAAGTGTGAGACACAATTTTGGTAGATTTTCTAGTAGCATATCCTGTCTCATCTCTTTTTTTCCTGTTTTGGAAACAACCAGAAGAACCAGAACAAATATGTAATATCTCATAAAATAGCTACAAATTACATAAAACATTTGATACTTCCATGTTCTTCAAGTTATGCTAAAAGGTAGGAGCATTGATTGGTATTTTCTGTTGTCCTCTAGAAAGCTCTCCTAGAGATGCTTTTCTTACTTTAAAAGTGCTTATTTTTAAAAATAGATGATTAATCTGCGTGTCAATTTATGCTAACAATTCTTTATTAAAAGAAAACACTCCTTGAAAGTTGAAGTTCTCCTCTATTGTATGTGTGTATATACCTCAGTTATATTACTTTGGAACTACTTAGCTGACTAATTATCAGGCTTAATTTCTTATGTGGCAACTGCTTTTCTTGTCATTGCTGTGATGAATTTAATTCTCTTTTATTTCATAATGGCATGATAGAATAAATACTGAAAGAAAATATATTAATTATTACTACAGCGGTCTCATGTTGATGCTAAACATTTGCTTCCATCCACTAAATATTTCTTTGGGTGTAGTTTGTTTCTTGATCACAGCAGAGCATAGAGCAGGTGTGTGCTGTCTTTTTCACAACAGCAGAGACCTTTTCCATGAAAGGCCACATATTGTATTTTCCCACTGACTTAATATCTGAATCCATTAGTGTAATACAACATGCAATAGCTTATGCTGGTTTGTGCTGAATTTATCTTGTCATCATGATGTCCAGTCTGCTAATTTAATTAAGTCTTTTTCTGGTTTCTCAGTTGTGCTTTGTAATCCACTCTAAAAATGGCCATCAGCAAATTTGTCTTCAGTATATATTCCTAGATAGGAACATATTACACAGAAACGCAATTTAAAAGGTAATCACCGAAGAATTTAGGTTGCAAGGGGTGTGTGGAGATTGTATGCTTCAGCCTGCTGCAGGGCTTAGGGGTGCTCAGGGCCTTGTCAGCCTGAGTTTAGTACTGTTGCATTTCAAGATGCACAGAACCAATATTTCAAAGTCTCATGCAACAGTGTTGTAATTCTAACATGCCCTTTAATTAGGCTTTACTCAACAAACTGAGAAGTGCATGACAACATATTGCAGGCAGAGGAACAGGCCTTTCTTTAATGTACTTAGTTAAAATTTCACCTTCAAAAGTACTATGATTGTAGTTTCTGCTTTGACGTTGTTACTGCAGTTGCAATATTAATGTCATGT